CTGTTTTATTTATTTATTATTATTATTTAAATTAATTTTTTTTTGTCTTAGTCAAAGTTTCTCAAAACAAAATCTATTGAGCTAGTTTGCGAGGCGTCTGGATTTTCAACTTCCTTATTCATTACCGTTTCACTTTTCCGTTCAAATAGTCGCGTATAAATTCTATTTACAAACTCTCATAAAGTCACTAACTCCACTCTCACGTATTCCAAAACGAAACGAGAAAACGAAGCTTCGTTATAGTTTAACGTACAAAAAAACACTGTGTACACTTTTAAAATTATTTTCCTTTTTTTCTCCTCTAATATAATCTACCTAATATATGGAAAATGCAAACTCAAAAACTAACGAGGACACCGCGTGACCTCAGGAATCAACAAAAAATGCATTATTCTTTATCTATTATTTAATTTTTTTTCTTTTTTTTTCTTTTTTTTATCATTTTCAAAACTAAATAAAAAAAACGAGTTTGTGCATCGGCGGAACAAAAAACTTGCAATTTGGCAATAATTATGGAACTAAAAACACGATTTTATTTTTATGTCTTCTCGCGGAAGAGAGAAATCAAGAAAAAATAAAGCGAATACAAGAAAATGTCTAAATCGTATTAAAAAACTATATATACTATATATGAAAAAGGAAGCACGTAAGTGGAAGGCGTAAAAACTAACTGCGCAACATTCGTTCGAAGTACTTTTCATGCTAATTTAGTATTTCGTGTACTTTTGCGCTTTATTAGCACGGAGAGAAAAATATTTAAAAAACAATATGAGCTTCGCTTGAAAAACACAGATTTCAATGAAATATATCTCTAGTCATATTTTTCTACATATCTTCTTCTCGGTGCAAATTATTTCGTACTAATCTTCTTCCTTTCTTTGTCTACGTCTTAGCATTGTCACTTATCAATTTACTGTCTATCTTCATTATTTATTTTTAGCAGGTACGTTTTGCACTCTTCTGAAATAGAGGCGACTAAAAGCAGCGTAACCTAACTGATTCTTTAACTCTTTCCATCTTTATTTTTGTCGTTTGTCACAAAAATGCTTCCACATTTTTATCTCGCCATTATATTTTCATCGACTAAAAATTTTATAAGATGAGATGCCTTTCTCTGCTCCCTCACCTTTTTATCGTCATTTTCTCTCGCATTCTTAAAAAAAAAAATAACACGCACAAACGACTTCCGAGCGCGATTAAAATCGAAAAGAGGTGGTTGCAGATTATCTTAAAAAAGAATTTAAAAGCCCGCATGTGTGTTAGTTTGTTTGTTTGTTTGTGTGTGTGTGTGTGTTTGAAGGAATGAGTCTGTGCGTGTGCGTGTCTGTGAGTGTTGCACAAGCCTGTGTATATGCATATATATATATATATATATATATATATATATATACATTCAACGGAAAAGACTGCCCCCCTATTCAGTAATTTTTTCTTTTTCGCACATAAAAAGGGGAAACGACCAGTCAATTAAAGATGTGAATTAAGAAAAACTTTTGATATATGATTTTGAAAAATGCTTACAACCCTTTTTTCTATTTTGGCACCAGAATTATATTTCTATTAAGAAAGAAGGGAGGAGCTGCGCTAAAGGCACTTGTTTTGAAAAAAAGTTGCTCTATATCACTATAATAGATAAAATGTTTTCATCTCTATATCATTTTATCCTCGAAGATAGGCGATCAACTGAAAAATTAAAATACACACAAAATTGTATGAATGAATAAGTTAAAATAAGATTTCTGTTTTCCATATACGTGAAATAAAGTAAATTAAACTTCATTTATAATGAATGTTAATCAAATTGTATTTGAAAACGTTGAAAATTCATACGAAGCCAATGAATATTTTCTTTCCATTTTAGGATTTAATGTGTCACCGTTGATTCTTGCTATGGCGCAGCTCATCGTACTATTTTGATACCAGTTAAGAATATTTAAAAACAAAAAAAAAGTACAATCGTTTCGTTGTACAATATTGTACCTGATCTATGCGTAAAAAATGCGTCACAGTATTCTAGGTCCATATGTTGTTCATGCATATTAGTGTCTTTTCGGTGTAAACTTCTATTTTAATAATAAAATACCAACCCCGTACGTCTTATAATTTTTCACATCGGAGTCATTATCAACCTACCTTTCATTTTCATCAACTCCAACTTATGCTCTCTCTCTCTCTCTCTCTCTCTGTTCAAATATCTCATTCTATCAAACATACAAAATAAACAGCCACGCTACTTTCGTTCCTTTTTTACTGATCTAATAGCATAATTACTGTGTTTGTAATTCATATATAAAATGTATGTTCCATTCAAAATTCAGTATATATATATATATATATATATATATATATATATATATATAAATGTACTGAACACATTGTTTTCTTTTTGCTTTTTTCCGCATGTTACGCATCCATTCACTCTGTAATCTGACACTTAAGATTTAGAAAGATTCTTTCACTCTCATTCTTATACCAAATTCTTGCAGTCACAATCATCTCATACTATCTCAACTCCTTCATATTTCTCGCCCAATTTAGTTTCTTATATCTATAGTAATGAACGCACACTCACGAAAAACAAAAACTACACGCATTCTCTTTCTCGCACGATTATTCATTAAAGTTTTTGTTTATATACTTATAAATATATTCGCTCACGAACACTTTTAATTATTTAATTATAATTTACCATTTTTTCCTAGATCTAAACGCAAAGACGCATAGCACGAAACTTATACATGTTTCATTATATTTTTTTTCTTAAATAGTCACGCTCGACTATTTGGTCGTACAATCTAAACCCTCTAATGACAAGCGTTTAAATTATAATTCGTAATTATTTTATTCTTTAATTTCATAAATTATGATACGATATTATCTCATTTTTTTGTAATAAAAAGTTCCCGTATAAGAAAAACCGCCGATTTAGTCGGTCATGAAATCAACTAAAACGTTAACAATATAATAATAATATTAATAATATTAATAATAATAATAATAATAATAATAATAATAATAATAATAATAATAATATAGTAATGATAATATAATAATTATAATAATATTAATAATTATTGTAGTAATAATAATGATAATAATAATAATAATGATAATGATGGTGATATCCAGATTATAGATTTTAGCATTAACTACCATCTATACATCCCACTCTTACCATCTTCAATTTTTTTCTCACTCGCTTTCATCTACATTTTTGTAGATTTACCGTAATATATTTATATAGGCGCGCATATACATATACATGCATGCATGCACGTATACCTACATATATACGTATACACACATACAGACATATACATACATATAAACATGCATGCACGCGCGCGCGCGCGCTCACTCGTACAAACATATGTGTATATAATATATATGTTTATTATATTTAATTTTATATACGCATTAAATCCATTTTTATTTACAGTGTATTCTTTGCAGTATAAAAGAAAAAAAAGCCTGAATACGATGCTTCATTTTTCATTTACAATATTCATTCGTGCTGAATTGAGGAGAAAAAAAGAAAGTGTATTACAAACGAATTATAAAGGTGTCGCAAGTACCTAGCGAGGAAAATTAGGAATACCGGAAAGTGCGTTAAAAAAAAACAACAAAAAAAGCATTATAGCTAAAAGTCATTCATCGAGAATGTCTAATTTGAATGATTGCTATTGTTTCCGTCATTATATTTTTTTTCCCTACGCGGTGTAAGAACTGGACGTCGTTTCCAAAAATATACAGCCCTGCTGCATTCTGACCACATTATTATCGTCAAACGCGAGAGCCAGAGTAGAACAAAAAGATTACTCAATTCTTTATTAAATTAGAGGAAAAAAACTGTCATCTATATATATAATATATATCCATATATTTTTCATGCTATATATAAGTTATCTATAGTTTCATTCGCGTCTATACGTGTACGCGCGTTATGTTTATGTGTTGCTTGTCTCTGTTCTGTGTATGCGTGCGTTCGTGCGTGCGTACGTGCGTGCGTGCTTGAATGCGTATATGCGTGCGTGCGTGCGTGCATGCTTAGGTGCGGGCTCGTTTATAAATATAAGCGCTAGCAAAATGAT